AGCAAGCCTGTCATTCTCATCTGCAGCATGTCATCTCTGTTCTTGCCACTGCTTTCAGTTGCTTGTTCGACAGAGAACCAGTGGTGTTTACTGTTCCATCTCCTCACCACTACCATTGTCCGATCCAGGAGCAATTCCAGCGGGACTTTGGCCTGTGCACCTTTGTTGGGGTATAGGTTCTCAGCTGATGCCCAAGCATGCTTACCCGTACCCTGCTGACAGGATTCACACTAAATCCCACAGTAAAGTCAACAGGTAAGGAGACACCTGCAGCACATAATAAACACACAGAAAAATGCCAATCTACAACAGCTTCACCACAGATTAAAAGATTTTTGCCCAAAAGACATCAGGGCCACGTAAGACTTCATCATAAGCAGTTCCATACACAGTCCACAATGATTAAGAAGCTGCCCCCTACCCCGTGTTAAACATTCAATTCTACAAAACTTTAACAGTTTAAACACTAATACAAATGACAAAAAGCACATCCATGTATTTTAATGATTGTTGTAAGCATTGTTATTACCATAATACTGTCCTTCACTATTTTGCCAACAAACAAACACATAAATCTCTGGACAGTCAAAGTTCATTTTTGACTGACCAAATGCCAGACCTGGTTGGGAATCATCATCATTATTTACACAGCATCATCAATATGCATGGTCCCTTAAAGCATAGTATGAGTAAAAAAGAGATATCCCTGCCTCAAGGAGCTTGCAATTTGATATGGGGTAAGCATAGAAGGAGAGGGTAACCGTAGGGGTATTTGCAAAGGATCCACTTACAAAAGCCCCTTGGAGCTGCTCCTGCTCTTCACCACTGCAACCTGTGGAACTCGAAGCGATTTGTGTGGGGAGCAGTGCAGTCACTATGTGCTTTGCAAGTGTGTGTCTGATAATCAAATACTGGGTAGGTCTGCATGACACTTTTAAGCCCAGGGGGTCATGTACAGAAGCACATACGGGAGCAAGGCAGGGATGACAGCTGCTGAAAAACATCCAAGAGGCACTTTCAGAGGCTGCCACTGGCATCCCCACCTTACACTCCTACTGGCATTCCTCCTGAGGAAGGGGAGCACACTGCGGCTTATCCTCAGCACCTCTATGGAGTGACAGCTGTACCAAGTAAGAACAACAAGAGCTATGAAGGTGGAACCAGCCCAGCATTTTTCCACAAGTGTCTTCTGCTGTCCAGAAGTGAATGCCTCCAGGCAAATTCATATTCCATGCCTCCAAATAATGAAATTGAATTCTACCTATATTATGCAACCTGAACAAGTATCTGTAACATCTCAAATTTTGCATACTTTATTCTACAATTTAAACCTTTTCATAACTACTATGTCTTTGCCAAGCCAAAAGAAAGATCTTATAGAGTAATATCTCTGACTTCTGCTTCCTGGCATTACCCACACATTTTCAAGCATAGCCTTGCAGCCATGCAGCTAGAAATGTGTCTTATTCTCATGACATACTGAGAATTTTTTTTCTTAAGAATTACAATATGTACACCATTAAACTTTACGGTTGAGTTTAAGGCAAGGCCTGTAATAATGATGCAGTGAACCAGAATGCCGTGAAAGCACACTAACCACAGTGCATACACCTATGTCCCAGCAAGACCTGTTCTGTTAATGTGCAGCAGAAGCCAGCTGCGTAAAGCATGGATTGACTGGCCCTTACAATGTCACCCCCAGTGTCTGTTTGGAGTTCTTGCTAAATGGTTTTCACTTTCTACAATAAATTAATCAACAAGCCAATTTAAATAAATAAGTAGTCTTATTCATTTAATGGACTTGCAGTGAACTCTATCCCCCTGCTGTGAAGACAAGCTGTGCTGCGTGCATAACAGTTATTTTGTATGCCATTGTTTTAACAGTTATGTCCAACAGTTATTTTGTGTGCCCTGCAAGCTGCTGTCCACCACAGTACCTCCCTCCTGATGCCCTGGTGAAAGCAGGGATGTGGGGGCATGGAGGCCGGACAAGCTGTGACACAGCTGTGGCATGTCAAGTTGGGACCCTCCTTCTTCACGCCAGCCAGGGCCAAGGCCTTCCACACCTGCTGCGCTGTCATCACCACTGCTGCCACCAAGGACTGCTGAAGAGACTGTCTCATTCCCTGCAGCCCTGCAAGCCGCTGTTTACCATGGCATCCCCCTCCCAATGCCCTGGTGAGAGTGGGGATGAGCAACAGGAAGAGGGAAAAGCCAAGCAAGAACAGTGTATTGATTAATTCACCTAACGTACAACAACCCTAGCACCCTAACCCTAGTGCATGACTTGCTGAATTCTTGAACACTGTCTAGTCCATACTTTGCTACATTAATAAAATATGGTTTGCTGTTCAATTGTGGACTTGGATTTGTTAGGGTCCTTTCGGAAGAGGATTTGAATTTTGTTGCTTCTCAGATTGATGTTATGATTTATGGTTTTGGCAGGAACTGTGAAGTCCCTCCTGTTCTCACTCTTGATTATGGTACTTTTAGTTTACCAAAAATCAAGCACCCCATCAAAAGTAACAAATGAAATGTTCTAGATGGTGTGATATTTGGAAAATGCTTATTCACAACCAGGGAGGGTGGGGAAAGCAATGTAGACATGTGAATGTTTCACAGATGCAAGGCCCTGAGCAAAATATAGTTGCCACACAGAACCAGATGACATGGATCACACACAAAATGCCCAGGCATCAGCAAGTGGCAAGCTGAGGGAGACCTCCTGGCTAGCAGAGACAGGGTAGTGATTCACTGGTAGAAGCATACTGAATAGGCAAAGGAGGTCAGGACGTACCGCTTCTGTGTCAACACGCAAGCAATGACCTTTCAAGCCTCACAACTACCAGCTCATTAGACTTGGTAGAACATGGGACAAAACTGCTCTGCTCAACCAGCTATGCAGGCAGGATAATTTTACAAGGCAGAGCTGTGATCTGCACTTCAGAACTTGATCAGCCACAGTTTCCTGTAGCTGTGCACTATGCATTTAGAAATACCTGTCTCCAAATCATATTGTGTGTTTATTGGAGGAATCACTAGTGGAATCACATACAGTGAAGCTGCCTTTAAATACATCTTTGCAAGTGTACCTTGGAACACTTCAATTAACAGTAGGTTTGAAGCTGAAGCATTCTTAAGGTATTTTCAGTTGCTGGATGTTAGCCTGAAGGATGAGATATATATATATATATATATATATATGCGCCAGCATTGGAAAAAACATTATGTAAACAGAAGCTGTGTGTGGCCAACAATTAGCACTATTCTAAAAAAGCAGGAATGGGCAACCTGTAGCTCTCCAGATCTTGCTAGACTACAACTCTAGTCATTCCTCACTATGCTGGCAAGGGCTGATGGGAACTGCAGTTCAACAAGATCTGAGGGGCACAAGTTGCTCATGCCTGACAAATGGAGGATAGTACAGTTCACTTCACATAGACCATGCTAAAAAATGTAGGCTTGCCATCTGAAGAATACTTATCCTTAGTGTTTTAATGAGCTGCGTACGATAGATGTGTTTGCAAACTTGTGCTGGCTTGTGTTATGTGCTGCATTTTTGGACATGGACCAAAACAAGTGATTGCAGTGTTCTGTCATACTGAACAATGGACAAGTAACAAGGTTTCTTTTTTTTTCTTCTGTTCTTAAATAATATCGGCTGACAAGAAGATCATAATACTCCCATTTAACTAGCAAAGAAAAACTCGCTGCACTCTGCAGGTCCCCTGCTTTCAATTTCAATTCTAACTTCCTGCCTCAACAGCACACAAGCCATATTAGCTCGGCTTATGTTCCAGTTTCCCCAGTGTTCTCTCTTCCTCCTCCTCCAAACAGTAGACTATAGAATAACTTCATAAATAATTAGACACCTTCGAGAAATTTGAGTTAGACGATGGGCCTGGAATATTCACTTATAACCCTTTCATTGGTAAATTAAATCATTTCCAGTAGGACTCTCCCCAATAATTATATCACTCATTACTTGGCATTAAGTCCTATAGATTCCTAAGCACCTGACTGCATAGGATCACAGCCCATTTCCCAAGCACAGCCCTGCACTTGGAAATCTGTACTCACACTCTTTGGGGATGAAACAATTAGTTTTCTTTTTTAAAAAATAATCAATTTCATGAGCATCTTCAGACATCTCATACCATTTGATCATTTCAAAAAAGCCTCTAGTTTATCTGTTTCCTAGGATCGCAGAGATGGGGAGGGATCTGACCCAAGCCCCCTTCTCAATGCAGGAAGTTAAGTGCTAAAGCATCCAACATGTGCCTACATCACCTTTGCTTGAACACCTGCAGCAAGGGAGACCTCTGCAACCCCTGAAGTAATTATTTCCACTGCAGAACCATTCCTCAGGAGTTTTTCACAAAGTTCAACAAAATTAAACCTTTCCAGAACTTAAGCCCATTATAGCTAATTCTGCCCTCTGGGGGAGCAAAACCAAGCCCTGATCCTCTTCTATGTGGCACCCCTTTACGTATTCTAAAAGTCTTGTCATGTTCTTCTTCCAGTCTTCACTTCTCTGGACTAAAGACCTTTCCACATGTTTTCTTCTGTACTCATGACCATTCCTGCTGCCCTGTTCACAACCTGTTCTGGTTTGTCTATATCCTTCTTAAAGCAAATGCAACACTCCAGAGGCCATCTACTTTAGATATTAGTGTGATGCAACCGAAGTTACCTACAAAAAGAATGAATAAAATGGAATTAATATTACTCCTGACTTGGGAGCTACGGTTTTATTAATACAGCCTAAAATTGCATTCGCCTTTTTTGCAGCTCCATCACACTGCTGACTCATGTTCAGCTTGAACAATGACATTTATTTCCCACTTTTTCTCCAAGGCTGCAGTCCTGGTGCTAAATGAAGCATTGAGCTCCTTGGCAGTCGACATCAAAGCTACATCAAGTCGGATCCCAAAGATGGCTAGGACGGGATTACTACGTTGACAACCTTCCTAGAATAAGTTGCACTTCCCGCTCCTTACCTGCCACTGTGACAACGAAGAAAAGGGCAGAAAGAGCCCGGTATTCCTGGTGAGCCATCGTGCGCAGAGCCTTCTGCGGCGGGGACGCCCGGCGCGGAGCCCCTGGAGATGGTGGCCAGGGCAAAGCACTCACGCTCGGCCCAGGGGCGCCTTCTTGCGCAACTTGGCGCGATCCTGCAGGCAGGACCAGCTGCACTTCCTCTGTCTGCGCCAGAAGCGCGTCTTTCTCTTTTGCCAGGTCCGCTGCGGCGAAACGCCTCGCTCGAGCCAGGTCTCCGTCCAGCACTTCCAGCCTGCCTCCTCCCGCGGGCGCAGCAGCCCCCACTCGTTCCTGTCGCTACCCCAGTGCGGCCTCTGCTGGACGGTGTGCGCGTATTGAGCGATGCGGCTAGTTGAGCCGGGCGAGAGGCGTCCTGATGGAAAGGGAGGCGCCAACTCGAGAGAAAAGCGAAACACCCTGCAAAGGCCAGGCCTTAAGAGCCTTGGCTTCTCGCTCCATGCTCCTGCTTCGTTACGTGCTCGCTTCGGTTTTGTCCTGCCAGACTTAATGGCTCCCAAAATACAAACTGACCTAGCCACCTCTGCCGTCTCTTCTCTGGCGATTACTAGGATAAACTTTGGCTTATAAAACAAATTTCATTTGCTTGATATTTTTTGTTGGCTGTGATTATGAGGTTTTAAAAATGCCATTTAATGTGAGCCACGAGGGCCACGGCCGGCTGAAAAAGCTGGCTGAATTGCATGTTTGCAGAAGTTCGGCTTACTTAAAAGCAAGGCCTGCAGAGTTCAGTGGGTTTGACTGTCCAGTAAGCGTGCTTAGCAGTATAGCAGTAAAATAGTCTGGCTGTGAGGATACTCTTAAAATTAAGATAAGTTGTCCCATCTTTTCACCTGCCTTTGCAACCAAACCATTCATTCCTGCTTACAGACTAAGCAAAATAACAGAAATGCAAATATTTTTAATGCATGAACTTTGTCCCTTGTTGGCAAAATATTTTCTACCAAAATAGTGGGATAGCTATATGTGGCAGTATTGCTTTCTCCAGATTCTCAAAATACTGGATAAGCTACATCTTATGCAACTATCTGAACTAAAGATACAGATCACAAGCAAATAAGTTTGTTCCACTATACACGTTACAAATTAAAAGCACAATACTGATTTGTAAACACATTCAGAATTCAAAATGGTTATGGCATTACTGTGTTATAGAGAAAGCAAAAAAGGCACTGTATAATGCTACAAGTGAATACCTTTACAACGACCTTGGCTGCATGGACTAGTCAAAAATAGGTACACATTTACAAAAATGGATTGTAAATTACACAGCCAAAAGATCAAGACATTTTACTATTCTGCAGCACTTTTAAGCAAACCTCAAATGAAAAAATACGATATAGCAAGAGAAATCTCAATTTATTTAAGGGTCCTTCATGTTTTGGGTCAGCACACATCACAATATTTCTGTTTTGAAAGCTGCTACTTCATCTGTTTTGAAAGCAAATGACCTATTTATAAAGCCATACCTGTATGTAATGAAGACAGATTAAATAAACTTCTAAAGCCCTAAAGCCCAAACATTCATAATATTTGCCTGGATTATTGTATGTGTTACGTTTCGTATATTGGGCAGGTTTCAGGAAGGCAGTGGAACACTAACAGTTTAAAATAATTACCCTTCTTGGGCAAGTATCTGCAGTTTGCAACTTCTTCCTACTATATTTCTATGTCCCCTCACCCCCAAACCACTTGCAAAATGTGAGGAAATTGCAGGAGTCTTGCCCCTCCTATTTTGATGAAAATCTCTTATATCCTCATGAAATTATTTGCTTTTAAATTCCACATTGCTTTATTTATTTAGAGTGGACAGAGCCTATCTCTCTGACTTGTTTCTTTCCACAAGGAAGATGGCTGCTGTCAAAGTGAGGAAGTTTGGTAGCTGCTGCAGTGCCAAAGAAATAGATTTGGAATTGTGTTCTTCAAATAGGAGAGAAAAAGAACAGGGGAAGTTAGGAGAAACTAACCTGAGATGTTGAGATATTTTTAAGGTTTCATTTTTGCCTGTATGGATAGTAAGGTTGCTTATCTGTAACTGTTGTTCTTCGAGTGGTCATCTGTGCATTCACACAACCCACCTGCTGACCCCACCTCGGTGTTAATGGTCAGTTACCTGTCTTCCCTCTAGTTTGGAGACAGTCAGGTGCCAAGGCCAAATGTTGGTCTCCATGTGAACTGAGAAAATGGTAGGAGCTCTGCCTATTTATACTAGAGAGGAGTGGGTGGGGCCCCTGTCAAAAATTCTAGGCTTGGCTAGGAGAATCTTGCCTAACAGAAGCACTGCTCAGGCACAGAGCCCATATGTACAGGCAAGCAACTTTACTTTCTTCTTCATGGTCACTGTGCATCACACGTATGAGTGACTAGCAAGCTTACTGGAGAAGGAGGTGGGAGGTATCATCACTGAAGAATGGAGGAGAGGACAGCACAACTTGAAGGAGCAGTCCTGTCTTGTTTTAACATCAACCCAGTAATGCTAAACAAGGGCTAAACGTTGTGGACCAATCAGTTCATCTTTGGAATGGCCAGTGTATTTTATTAATAATCTTTTGGTCCGGAAAATATTAGCAAACAAGAAAGGTATTTGATGCTACATTTAATCACAGCGGCGAGGATTGCGCTTGCTCAATACTGGAAGAGTGAGAAACTACCCACGGAGGAACTGATTTTAAAAAAGATTCTGGACTGTGCAGAAATGGACAGATTGACTCTATTACTGAAGGAGAAAGAAGATACTGACTTCTATCAAACTTGGGACCTTTTTTATGATTGGCTGGAGAAATGGGACTTGGCATAGATTTAAAGATGTTTTTAAATTTTAATAAATCGATTTGAATATGATTACAGAATGTTAAAAAGATATGTTATAGGGGGCTGACCCAGTACGTCCGATGTATTTGATGATTGATTTTTTTTTAGTTTTTAGTTTAAAATCTTAATAAAAATCTTTATTAAAAAAATAATAACCCTTTGGTTAGTCCTACCGACTCTGTGTGGGATCTGTAGAACACTAGTGTTCTTCATACATCAAACATATATGCAATGTTCTTTCAACCAGTGTAGATGGGGCCAGGAAAAAGGCTGGAAGTACTATATCTTATGTGAAGGATCGAGGAGACTTTTGGGAGAAAGATGGGGTCCAGTCTTAGAACTACCTTTTTTTGTGGAAACTCATGAAGGTAGTTTTTTTACCTCAACAAACAGGATGGCATGAGGTCTGCTTTCCTAGGTCATTGACTATCTGTATATGGGACTGGTGCATCCACAGGAACATAGCTCTGGTTGCTGTCTGTGAGGCAGGTCTGTGGAACACAGTCCTGGACCCATTTCAGTCTGGCTTCAGACCTGGTTATGGCATTGAATCTGCCTTGATCACCCTGTATGATGACCTGTGCTGCTTTAGACTTTCTCTGCACAATTTTATGCCTTCTTCCTTAATGGGAGGTCTATACATCTTGTGACCTTTAAAGGTGCATGCAGACCAACAGTTGCATGTGGCCAATGATTACCCATCAAGGGCTGAATAAACCTGCTTTTGTGACCTTCTTGGGACTGAAAAAAGAGGTTGTCAAGCACCTGTTATTAGCTTGGGGGCAAGTATCATACATTGTGCAGGCCTGCCCGGTGTACTCCACTCTTTTGGCAAGCAGATTTTGGACAAGCTCTTTCTGTCCAGGAGGGCTTGCACTTGACTAAGTGTGTGAAAGGCCCTTCTCACCATGGATGTCACACCTTCACTGGTTTTATCAATGGATTTATCTGCTCCACAAATGTATATAATGAACTGTGATTCAAAATGTCTCCAATCTGAAGTTCATCTTCATCAGAAACTTACAAGATAGACTTTGTCAAGGTAACCTCTCAAAGCCTTTGTTCTCCACTAATATAGGGAAAATGCTGGCTTATGGTACAGGGCTGTTGTATGAATTACAACGAAATTTTCTATGTGAAGTGCTTTGAACCCTCCAATAGAATCAGTTTTTAACATTGTTTTAGATCAGTGAAAGGGTTTTGGTCAAGCTAACCTAGTTTTGCTAACCAGCAAAATTATGCAGAATTGTGCAGACAAAATGTTCTAATTTGCTTCAGTGAGCCTCATGATAAGTTATGTCTGCCGTCTACAGGCTACAGAAAAGAGCTGATCTATTAGAAAAGTAGAAGTTTTCACATTTATCACCTACCTTTTCTGTGCAAGCAGCCCAAGCCAGCCTACTCTTAAACTTAACATAGTCCCCCAACAAATAAAGGTAAGGTAAAGGTTTGCCCTTGACATTAAAGTCCAGTCATGTCTGACTCTAGGGGGTGGTGCTCATCTCAGTTTCCTAGCCAAGGGAGCCAGCATTTATCTGCAGACAGTCTCCATGGTCATGTGGCCAGCATGACTAAACACTGAAGTGCACGGAACGCTGTAACCTGCCCACCGAAGTGGTACCTTTTTATCTACTTGCATTTGCATGCTTTCAAACTGCAAGGTTGGCAGGAGCTGGGACGGAGCTATGGGAACTCACCCCATTGTGCAGATTTGAACCGGCGACCTTTCGATCAACCAAGCCCAGCAGCACAGCAGTTTAAACCATTGCGCCACCTGCATGTCTTACAAATAGCACATGGCAAATCTCATAATAAATTTGCAAAGATTTAACAAATGGAAAATGTCTCAATAGTCAAAAAGCTATCAGGTACATCATAACATACAGTGAATCCAGAATCCTATTATACATAAATTTATTAGGACACAAAATAGCAAGTAAACTTTTGTGTTCTCCAGAACTCTTCTCTGGAGAACTCTTCTCCAGAACCTCTTCTTCTGCATTGGATGCAAAAGGAGGTGGTAAGAGGAATTAGACACAAGAGGAACCTCCATAGAAAATGGACAAATAGACAAAAGGGTGTACCTGGAGGAGGAGACCTGTTGCAGAAGGATTCTTCACAAGGCTAGGGCTGGTTACAAGCTGAGACTTGCCAAGAATATCAAGAGCAACAAAAAGGGCTTCTATCAGCATTTAAATAGCAAGAGGAAGGGGAGACAGGTAGAGGGACCACTTAATAAGGAGGAAGGGGATCCAGTGAGGGAACAGGCAAGAATGCTAAATGACTATTTTGTTTCTGTGTTCTCCCCAAAGCAGGATGGGGGAGATCCACATAGGAGAGTAGATGAGGCCAGGGATTTAGGGGCACAGATTAGAGTCACCCCCCCTTGAGTCACCTCCCTCAGGGCACTGGATATTACAAAGGTGCCGGGCCCTGACAGGTTACACCTGAGAGTACTTCAAGAGTTGGCAGAGGTTCTCTCATGCCCGCTGGCCTCCATTTTTGAGACCTCATGCAGAACGGGTGAAGTTCCAGAGGACTGAAGGTAGCATAAGTGGTCCAATTTTCAAACAGGGTAGTAGAAGGGATATGGGGAATTAAAGACCAGTTAGCCTTATATCCATTGTAGGAAAAACAATGGAAAGGCTCATAATAGTGAGAGATGCTGGATAGGGAAGGGAGGATGGTGGCCACACAACACGGCTCTGTCCTCGGACTGATCCTGTTCAATCTTTTCATCAACGACATGGAAGAAGGGGTGAACAGCCTGCTGATCAAATTCGCAGATGATACTAAAACAGGGGCAGTGGCCACAACTGAGGAGCAGGTACTCTGCACCACTGGACAGCTCACAACAGAATCAATAAATACAATATAAATATAAATATCATAAATTCCCTAAACTATAATAAAACTGAATAACCCATGGGTGAAATAAAAATAATTAAAATCTATTACACATTAAAATATTGGATGAATAAAAAGGTCTTGACCTGGCACCAGGCATATAATACCAGGAGGACCTCTCTAGGGAGCACATTCCATAGCCGGGGCACCACCGTAAAGAATGCCCTTCTCCGGGTAGTCTGTCTCCTGATCTCCTTCAAGGAGGGTTCCCAGAGCAGGGCCTCTGCTGCAGATCTTAAGAGGTGGGAGGGCCTGTAGGGGAAAAGTATCCTGGTCCCAAGCCATTTAGGGCTTTATAGGTCATAACCAGCACCTTAAATTGGCCCTGGACTTTGATGGGAAGGCACTGGAGCTGATGGAGGACTGGAGTTATATGAGATTAATGACCGGTCCCCGACAGCATCCTGGCAGCTCTACTTTGCACCATTTGAAGTATCCGAACTATCTTCAAGGGCAGTTTTGTGATAACACAATATGTATTCTTATTTTGCCATCCTCACTGAGTAGTTGAACCACCATCTCTTTCTTCTGTCTTTTACAAGTCATCAACCTGAAGAAGGCTTTTTCTTGTTGTTGTTGCTTTTGATATCTCTCTCTAATCTCGACTCATTTTAAGCTTTCCTGACGTCATCCCTGCATTTCTGTCCTACCTGCCAGTACTCTTCCTTTGTAGCTTGGCCTTCCTTCTTCCTATATTTGACCTATTTTTTTCAGGTCATCTCTAAACCTTTTGTGAAGTCGCTTTGGCATCTTGTGTTGTTTTCTACCTTTTTCCCCCTTGTGCTTTTGTATGGACAAAGGCTTGGCTTATCTGAATTTTTCCCCAGTCTGCCTGCTTGTCTAGTTTACACAAGCAGTTATTTATTTATTTTATTTATTTATTAAAACGTTTTTATGCCACCGCATTCGCCAAAGCCTCGGGAGGCTTACAATAATAAGTTACAATAAGTTACCAAGTTATCAAGCAGTTTACACAACTGGCAACGATACACACATTTGTAGTTAATGCATTTTAAGTGTTCCCTTGCAACTGTACAATATAGTTTACAGTGATTACTAAATTTCTCATTTCAGCTATTTCCAGGATAATACTTGGCTTAGGTTTTCACTGCAAACCTATTATGGATTTTTGCAATTACATAATGTGTGAAAAAGTATTTAGACTAAAAATCTAACCTTAAAGTTTAGAGTGAAAACAAACAAAAACATTTTTTTAGAATTTGTTGGCACTATAGGGTATATTTTTACTTCTGATTTCAAAGGGTGCAGAGCTAGGTTGTTGCTTAAAGTCCCATCCTAACTCTTCACAGAACACAAAAGTGATACTACATTCTGGGTGCTTTCTTGTCAGGGAATGTCACTTGTGAACAGCAGACTTACAGCTAATCATTCTCTCTCCTTTCCTACCCTCTTTTGTCATGGTTGGTTCTCAAGTTTAAAAACTATTCCAGCAAATGATAATAGTGTTGTAGTGAAAATTGGTATAATGTCTAGACAATGCAAACATGTTCTTGAGTTACGCAGGTGTAACTCCAAGTTAAAATGGCATAGGGCAATTATGTTCCAGTGGTATAATTGTCTCAGCTATGATGACATGAGATCATAGTTGACCCAGGTTTAGAAGGAGGAGCTGGGTGGTTGGAAAAAGATTAGGGAGGTGTCCTGCTAAGTCAGGATTCTGTGCTGTCCTGTGTGTGTGTGGGGGGGGGGGGTCTTTCCCCACAAGCATAAAGTTTTGGCAGCAAAAGAGCTAGCATAAGAAAATATACAAAGGGTAATGCTGTCCTTTGTGGTCTTGCAAGCTTTGTGCTCTTTAGTGTGCGTGACTTCAAAATACAGTAAGTGAGCCCTGCTCCGTTCGGAGCCCTTCTGTTCGTTCAGTTAAGCGGGGACCCAGAGTTCAATTCCAAAGCTGGGGCCCCAAAGGTTCAGCCTGGAGGCTTTGCCTGCGCGCCTCTATCCACGGAAGGTAAGATGTCATTTGTCGGCGAGGTCTGGGGCACTACGCTTTCAGTCCTAGAAAACCTGATGCCACATAAGAAACACGCCAGTCTGATGCCGCCTGACTCCCGTAGCATAGCCCTGCTCCGCTCCAGGTCCCCTGAGGGGAGCGCGTAGCCCCGCCCACCTAGTGCCAGGGGCCGCCGGCGGCGGGCATGCGGACTCGGTCGCGCCGACCGCTCAGGCACTCCGCGAGTGCCGAGCCGCGCTCCCCCAGCCGCTGGAGAAGCCGTTCTCTCCGTTTGCGAGGGAGGGCCTCTGCTGCCTGCATTTTTACCAGCCAGGCGCTGCCTTTTGTGGATTGCTACATTCCGCTTTCCGAGCTGCAGCTGGGCTTGGATGGACCCGGTGGCGCTCCGGGGCCATGGTCCCCTGCTTCTCCTGGGTGAGGATGGGCTGAGGCTCTGCTCCCGCGTCCCGGGGTTGCTGGGCTCAGGGACGGGGTTGCCTTGGAAAGGAGCTCCCGCTTTCGCTGCCGTGCCAGTGGAAGCGCGACGCGGGTCCCGGGGAGAGCGCACAGGAGCCTTTTCGGAGGGGCCTCCCTCCCCCTCCCCCAGCAGGGCTGCTGTGCCTGGAGCGGCTTCAGAACCGGAGGACGCCGAGGAGGTGCGGCCTCCCGGGGCAGGGCATGTACCGTTGACAGGCGCAGGGAGCCTTGGCCAGAAACAAAAGTGGCAGTGGCGACGCAATTCGTTGCCCTTGCTTTGGGCCTAACGTTGCCAGCTACTGTTAAGCTCACAGGCGACGAAACGGCAGTCTGGAGACTCAACGTGATCATTTGCTTAGGCCAGCAGTCCTACGTGAGGTCTATTAAAGTCGGGTGGATTAGAAATGCATCTGGCCAGATTTCACCCTCCCTTTCTGGCATGTGGTCCACGGTTCATGGCTTTTTAAAATCCTAACATCCATCCTGACCACTGAAAAGTTTCACTAGTCAGTCCTGCAGACAGGCTATGTTTATTTACGTGGAAAGGTACTTTACAAGGTACCAGGAAAAGGAATTTTGTGCTTGCTCAGTATGTCCTTTTTAATTTTGTCATTTGGAAACTGAGTCCTCATACTGAAGACAGATCCCTCCCCACTTGTTTTCAGAGTGGGGAAATAAGCGGGAGCTGAAGAAATGTTTGGCAATCCATCAGAGTTTCCTGCTTATCAGGACACCAACTGAATAGGGTCACTTGTCTATATTTAGCTCTATGTGTTAATTTTAAGATGCATTAGAACAGGGGTCCTCAAACTTTTCCACCAGGGGGCCAGTTGAAAGCTGCCGGTGCTGGGCGTGGCCAGAAAGGTGGTGCCGGTGGTGTGCCCAGGCCGGGGTGGGGGCAGCGTGTGCGGGCGCGCGCACTGAGGTGGGCATGGGACACGCGGCAAGGTGAGGTGCGGGCATGTGCGTGCTGCGAGGGGAGGCTAGGCATGGGTGGGGGCAGGCAATCACCACAAGGCGGGCACACAAGGCAGCGGCTTGCTCGCTTGGAGATCGTTTTCTCCGAGTGAGCAAATCGCTGCCTCGCCGCACGCGGGGCAAGGTGGGTGCAGGCGCACGTGCAGCGGGTCCAAATGGGCATGGCGGGCCAGATCCGGCCCCCGGGCCATAGTTTGAGGACCCATGCTCTAGGTCATCTTCAAAGGCAGCCCTATATTGAGCACATTACAGTTATCCAGTCAGGAGATTACCAGCACATGAGTAATCTGGTCAGGCTCTGTCTGATGGAGCCGAGTGCCCTCAGCATACTGCTGATACCTCAGCCCAGACCTTCTGATGACCTCTCCCAGCAGTTTCATGTATATGTTGAGCAGTATTACAGAGATAAATTACCCCCCTCAAAAACCCCCAAGATAATTCTCAAGCAAAACCTATTCTTTCACACTGGATCAAGGACGTTAATTCTCAGTATTCCTTATCTGCTGTACAAACTATCTGTTCCCCAATTTACTCAGGCTAGACTTTCAGTACTTGGAGTAGTACAAAATATCTTGAAAATTTGAATATTCCCAAATATCAGAAAATTTCTCAAAAGCCAGATCCAAAGTAATACCTTCTGCTGTGTGGGATGGATATTTCTAGGGAATTCCTTATATAAATCATATCTACTCATTTGGAGAAATGGTAGAGTCCCTTTCCCACATACAGTGGTGCCTTGACTCACAAACTTAATCCGGTCCACCACTGTATGGTTGTGACCCAAATTGGTTGTGACCCAATTCAAATTTCCCCATAAGATTCAATGTAAATAAGGTCAATCCATTCTGTAACTATTTTTTTAATCAGAAAAATTTGAAACAAAGTGACAACAACAAAGTAACAAAGTACAGTACAGTACAGTGGAGAACACTAACCTAGGTGTGGGGGGGAGGTTATTGTTTTGAGGGAGAGTCCCCCTCCATAAGGACATTGGGAAGATCTCTTTCGGGGTTTCCTCTCTTCTTTGTCTCTTAGCTGCAGGGTCAATTTTGGTGAAAAATCTGTCTATAGTCACTTGTTTTTTCCTGTGCTGCATAACCCTCTGGAAATGAGAGACCACGTTATTGTTCATAAGATTCAACACTCTGTTCGTTACAGTTATGTTGGGGTGGTGCTTCTCAAAGAAACCCTGGGATGGGTGCGCTCCTGCAGGAAAGACTGGTGCAATCTCGGCCATCTCCCCCACCCCCCACAACCAGCACGATCGCAGCCATCTCCCCCGCCCCCTCGAGCGGGGAGATGGCCAGGATCGCAGTTGTGTTTGTGCAGGGAAGACGTGCGTGATCCTGCAGGAAAGACGGGTGCAGAACAGCACAGCCGTGATCACACATATCTTCCCTGCACAAACACGACTGCGATCGTGGCCATCTCCCCACTTGGGGGTTGGGGGGAGGGAGATGGCAGCAATCTTGGTCGCCACCCAAAGCGGAGTTCGTGACCCAAGTCAAATTTTTCATGAAACTGTTGTTTGTGATCCAAGGTGTTCATGACCCAAGGCATTTGTGAGCCAAGGTACCACTGTACTCCTCTTTTGTAATTTTTATATAGAAGAGCAAATAAGATGCATTATACCTTTTCTAAATAAATTACCTTACCATTTCTGTAGCTAAGATCTGTAATTATATTCTTCAATTTTAAATGTGATCTAAAAAAGTGTGTTAAATATGTCATCGTATCTTGGTTTCTTATCTGTCATGCAGTTGCTGTAGTGCTGCTATGTATTCTGTTTTATTGATCATGGCTTTTACAGTATGTTTTAAATGGTCTGGGACTATACAATAAATTGAATTAAATCTAACTGTCCCATTAAATAAACTTTTTAAAAAATTATTATTAAAAGTTCCCACTACCACTAAAGAGCATAACAAATACTTCCAGGTTCATAGTGTTCTTTGAAGATTGATGCCACCATTGTTTCCCAATATCTGTTTGATCTAGAAATCAGTACCCTTTATAAAACACAATGGCTTAGTTATACAAAAATGAAGTTAGATATCATATCTTCATCTTGTCTTTGCCATAGTCCTTGTTTATATGAAGTTATATGTTTTATGTTTATATGAACAGTAATAATTAACTGCAGCAATTATAATACAGCAGTGCAGGCCAACCACATATGCCATTATTACATGGGTGACATATTCAAACATTGGATCCTGTGACATTTGCCTTAGGATTTTTTCCAGTGCTGAAACTATATATTATATCAGGGGTGGCAAAAGCAAGGCTTGGGAGCTCCATGCAGCTCTTTAGCTCACAGGTCTCTGCCTGTGGGCCCCCATGGCTGCCAACTTGCTGCTTGTCGCCCACAGCTGCCGCTCACAGGTGTCTGCTTGCTGGTGGGCAGCTGTTTGCAACTCTCAAACTCTCATCTTGACATTTACTGTATGTGGCTCTCCTATTGAGCAAGTCTGGCCATCCCTATATTATATCATTTTCTGGAACTCCCAAGCTGTTTCAATATTAAGATTAGGGATGACACATTTTGGTGGTACCATTGCATTCCTTTTTTTCTTCCTGCTCACTTTCCTTGGGATAGGAAAATTTCCAGAATTAAGTTGCATTTATTCTTCTTATATTTAGTGAAAACTAGTTTTCAATTTTGCTTTCAAGTAATGCAGCATGCAACAGCTAAACTTGTACTGGTTTAGGCTATAATTCTATATATACTTACTTAGGAGTGAATCCCACTGAATTTATGCAGACTTACTTCTGAGTAGATATGTTTAAGATTGTGCTTTATGTCAGTTGATTATCCCACAAGAGCTTTAGCTGCTTATTTGGGTATGGCCTAATTTTAATAGGTAGGACTGGGAATTAAGGACACACATTCATTTTCAGGGCTGTGTTAGTAATATTGAGTTATTCTAAAACAAAAAGAAGAAAAAGTTAAGTTTTTTTTATGCTGACATCTTACCACAAGTAACTTCTATTTAGTAATTAATGTTTTATGTTTCCTTCAAAATCTCAAAAAGGAACCTGTGTTAAAGTTTGTGTATAATTACTAGCTTATAATTGATTAACTTGAAAGTCATGAATTGGTGACAGCTGAGTTGATACCTGTTTCTGAGTTAATGTCTGCTCTCAAATCTGATGAAAGAGATCTGAGGGAGGGTAAAAGAAGGACAGGGAAGCAAGGAGGATGGTGGCTGAGGGGGAAGGCAGAGACATAGGGAAAGTAAGTCATGAAAAAGGAACAAAGAAGGAAGGAACTTGGGAGAGATCAGGAAGAGGCAAGTGATAGTGGTTGGATTCACACATGATGCTAAACTATGCTGTGTATGGTAACCCTGTGGTTACTGTGCAGCATGGTTTCTGGTTGCTGGGTTCAGAGAATTACGTCTCAATTTTTGCATTATTTCTACCCTACTCCATCATTCCTCTGAATAGCGGCAGGAATCTCATCAGCCTCAATGACTGTAATTTAGTATTGATGATGCACTGTTCCTACCTTCTTTGCCTACCTCTCCCTCATTGATCCATATACCACTGGATACAAGGGCCCTAATTCTGTTTGCTTGCTAACTGCATAGACATATGCCTACACATCTACATGCATAGCTAATTTGCAGCAAAGTACTGGGGCTCCAAGAGCTGCTTGTAGGAGTGCAAAGGGAAGCATGTGCCACTGGCCCATCCACCATCCCCACATCTCTTTGTAAGGTAGGCAGAAAGATCTGAGGGCACTCCAACTTGACTGCTGTTGGGAGTAGGCTAATATCTACACCAGGACAGAGGCTCTGCTGGTGAAACTTCTGCAAGTAGTTCTCTCAGTTCCACAAGGAAATCACAACACAGATCTCACATGCCTCATGCCTGGCAGTGGTGGGTGTTAGTAGGTTCAGAGGCTGATAGGAGGCAACATTGGACTTGTTGACTGTTCCAAGGAATGTCAAGGACAAGATGGGAGTACAGGAGATGGTTGGTAGGCAGAGTAGGGGATATGGGCTTTTCAGGGTGCTCGCCTGTTGGTGATGCTCTGTGCATAGCCTATCTACTCTTCTTCTGTAGGGGCAACTTTGCATAGAGAGGAGTGATACCTCTGCCAGGAAAGCAATGTCCAACATGGCTGTCTCCGAGGTCCTTGCTGGAGGTGTGGCATGCTTCTCTGCTGCTGGCAACATTCCAGAACTGTAGGTGGGCATCTGGAGGGCAATGGTGGAGAAGACAGATGTAGAAGAGAGTACAGAACAGCCAATCAAAGTGTGGCTAGAGCTGACAAATCAATTTGCTAGGCAGATGTGGACAGTGGCGAATGCTGTCAGGAGTACCTCTCCAGCAGTGGTTGCTTTTTCCATAGAACTCGATGGTAGTAGCAGGTTTATACATTTGAACAAGCCATGGTGAAGCATGGAAACCATAGAACAGACCACTGTTTTTCTCTGTAGTTACCAAATGTACCACTCACTAAGTCTCTGACAGCGTTCAGACAGCATGACAGCCCATGCATGCCACAGTGGTTTACACTGTGGTTTAGCATTATGTCTGAACCCAGCCAGTCTGTTTAGAAGCAGGATTGCCAAAGACACTGTTTCCTTTTAGAAAGAAAGACTTTCCTCCCTCCATTCATCTTGAACTGAAAGACTGATTGAGCATTCAAGTGGTTCATCTCTTGGGAGCAGGAAAAGGTGGAGGGTTGGACAGAGATGAAGCAGCAAGGGGAATGAACACTCTGAAAATCAATTGGCAACCCTAGGCTTAGCTCAGATGCCATCCTCAGATACTGCTGTGTGCAATGACATTCCTAGGGAGGAAAAAGATAGTTGCTTGGACCCTAGAGATTCTCCTGTTGTTGTTCTTGGCGAGTTAAACTTTTTTGTGTTATAGTTTAGATGGGATATCAGTGAATGTAACTACCACACTCCTTCTCATTCATGTATCTCTTAAAACACCTGTTGACAGTGCCAAGGTGATGGAAGACATGGAGCACAGGCATTTTGACATTCCCTTTCCCCAAATCATACCAACAATATTATTTCAGAAACAGTGTTTTTGTGTTTTTAGATTTGTGCACCAAGTGGATCTTTGCTAAATGAAACAAAGTATCCATAGTCATACCTCAAGATTAATATGAACTAATTTCACTGACTGTGAGGTCTCTAAGCAAATTGAGTGAAAACTAGCTAGAGCTACAGTCTTGTTTAAGATATAAGCCCCAGTGAATTCCATAATGCTTACAAGGAAATGTAGATCAGATCAGACTGCACATTCTAATTAGTTCAGTGAGACTTAAGTAGCCTAATGATATGCAGGAGCAGAACTTTAACCACAATATTTTGCTAAGGTTCTGTTCATAAATCTATTCTTATAACAGTTACAAAGGTGAAAAAGTTGCTTGTTTTTTTCCTCCTATGTGCTTATCCCATAATAAGCATAATGGATTTTATAATTCTGCTGTAGCATATTTAAATTGGTGATTTTATAAAAGTAATCTTAGTATAAAGTTAAAACTGAACTTATTGACCTAAATGGTTGATTCTCCTTGTTTCAGTTCATTGGGGTTCCTGTGTGAAACACAGACAGGTCAGGATTGGGGATGCAGGCTAGCATGCCCTGTTTTTCCTAAATACTTGAGATTTTGAAACACTGTACAGTTAGTGTCAGCAATAAATTGAAGTTTGCAGCACTTAGAAAAGATTTTTTAAAATCCCCTTTATAAAACATTACATAACAATTAGGAGAAGCACTGGGGAGGGAAGGAAGTGGAATGTGTAGAAACAAAACTACCTGTTTTATCTTTACTGTATAGTGACTCCATTATGTAATGTAAGTCCTTATAAAGACAGACCAAATTCCCCTATGAGTCTCCTAACATTTATGTCTGGCATAATGTTAGTTTTTAAAAAAAATTACAGGTGAAGGTGTGCTTGGCCAGTCCCATGCAGGAGAGAAGCATAGTTCTTGTTCATCAGCGTGGACTTCATATCAGTTAACTATTTGTAACATCAGTTTAGTTATTACTGGAATTTTATTCCAGAAGAGGTAAATTACTACTTTATCCAGTCTGTAACCAATTATGGTTTAATTATCACAGTTTGGTAGAAGGCTCCATATTGCTGGTGTATCCTAATAGAAAGTATTTTCTTTCCTGCTGAAGTATTTTCTTTCTTCAGGTGGGAACTGCCTTGGAAGGGGAGTTTCTAAAACTGTTAAAGAAAGGATTATTAATCCAGGAGTTTGCAAGCACAGCAGCAGGAGCTATGCTTGGTGGAACAAATGCTACTGTAATGTGAGTCAATAGTTGTTTAAAATAGATTTGTGTAATTGCTTTGCTTTGCTTTCTCTCTCCCACTCCTGCCTCTGATGACTGAAGGCCTGGCCGTTTTCAGCTGTGTGCCTGTTAATGGAAATGTAACATCTGAACATGAACTCAAGACACTGTCCTGCACCCTCTCAAATGGAAACTGTACAGGTAACATAATGGAATATGTAGCCTGTGAAGAGAACCTGCCCTTCAGCCATGACTCTTGTGTAATTAATTTAAAATAGAACAAATTTGCATGAAATTACATGTAACTATGTGTACCTTTTATGGAATTAACAGATGTAAATCAGTGTGTAGACTGGGTACACTTTTACAGTTGTATTTATGTTACTAATATATCCTTTGTTAACGAGGTTTAAAAAAAAACTGATAAGGCTTATGCTGTTTTTCTGTCTGAACACTATATAGATAGCTTCTTAGGGCACAATCATGTGCATGTTCAAAGAGAAAGAAGTCCATGCCAGCTGCTGTGTGCTTGAAGTTGTAGGCCTTTTCTTCTGTCTATACATGCCTTTAATAAACAAAAGCTTCCTTTCAAGATTACATCGCCCTTTATCCAGGTTGCTCCTTTTGATCACTTTGCCAGCTGTCAGCTAACTTTGCATTTCTTGTAGTTCCAATATGTACCACCATTACATCTTTTCTTTGTATGGTATGTATTCTCCCTCTCCCCACCCCCCATGTTCTTTTAAGAACAACATTTTAGCCTGATGTATAAGCAATCAGTATTTTAGCAATTGTCAATAAATCTTTGAGTGTACTTGAGCTGCAGTAGCCTTCTCTGGGTGCCCCATGGGTATTTTGAACTACAATTGCCAGCATTCCTGACCATATGGTCAAGCTAGCTCAGCTGGGACACATCATATAGGGCACATGCAGTACAATAGCACATGTTTCTACTTAGAGGTCTGGTTATGGTATTTCATAGAACTTACTCCAAGATAAATGTGCACAGAACCCTCCAGACTTTTCTGGAGGGAATGAGTTTGATACCTTGTATGGAATTCAAACTTTTTGTAAGTCCTTTTGTTTTGGTTAAGTAGCAATTGTTCTGTTAGATTAAAACAATTAAATGAAACAAAATAATCATGTGCAATGTTTAGAAATACTCCTGTGCCTTTAGGTATTGTTCTTTGAGTTGAATTCTCCTCATCATATATAAAATAAACTCGTGTATGATGTTTCTCCCAACTGTTGATAGCATTCAAAATCAAGCATAAATTTCTAGGTGTTCTCAATTGCTTCAGACTTTAATTTTTCACTTCATTACGTAGCCTTTATTAAATATCGATCTTTACTCCTGCTAAAATGTGGTATTTCCCATTAATTGTTTTGTGTAGGCAGTATCTTAATAAATAGCATATTTATTTAAAAATCAGGCAACATGTAGGCACTTTCTACATATCATTTGCCACTCCTTCACTACTCAGCTGATTTAACCTATTCACATTTCACAGTCTAGGAATACCACTGTAAAGTAGGAAATTACTTAAGTAAAAGTTTAATTGCTGATTAATGATATTTAATCATGTAAAAGAAGAGGTGACTGAAAGGAGAATGAACATAACAGAATGAACATAACAGAATATAAAATTATGCATAATGTAAAGAAAGTGGATTGGAATATTCCACCATAATAAGATCTGGATGGCTTTAAATCGGAATGCAGGGATTAATGGAAGAAAATGTTGCCACTGGTTACTAGTCACAATGGATGCATATTACATTTAGTATCAGCAGCAATATGCAAGGGACCTTGAGTGAGAAGGTACTCTTACATTTGTGTCATGTTGTTGACCACTGTAAGAACAAAGTTTTGGACTAGGTATGCAGGAGTCCAGGAGTTTAGACCAGGATGCCTGCAGGTACCCACAAAGTTGGTACCCACAAAGTTGTTCCCACCCCCTTTAAGATATATATTAAGAAAAACTGCAGAAATCATTAGGGCAGTTTACTTTTTCTCCCTCTCCAGCCTCTAGCCTTGCTCTTTCTCTCCTCTTAGCCCTTACTATTTCCCTCTTTCTCCCAGCCTGTGCCCTCACTAGTTCTTTCTCTCCATACCTCTGTAGCTCATTTTGATTAGCCAGATTCCCATGGTGGCTGCTACATGATTAACCACATCAATGTTGTGATGCCATTCCAGGCAGTTTCTCAAATTTGCCAATACAGTGGTACCTCGGCTCACGAACACCTCAGTTCATGACCAAATCGGGTCATGAACAGAAATTTCATGAAAATTTTGCCACAGGTCGCAAACTCTGCATCGGGTGATGATTGCAAGTGCTCCTGTCTCCCCCACCCAGCACACCCATGATCACACCCATCTCCCCCCACCCCCTCCCATACGATTGCTGTGGGGGGGCGGGGGAGTTGGCCACGATCTTTCTTGTTTTTTGTCACTTTGCTTCAAATTATTGTGAATAAAAAAACATAGTTACAGAATGGATTAACCTTATTTACATTGACCGTTATGGGGAAATTTGGCTTGGCTCATGACCAGTTTGGGTCACAACCAGAGTTCTGGAATGGATTAAGTTCATGAGCCAAGGTACCACTGTATACCCTTACGCCCAAAAAGATTGGAGACCTCTGCTTTAGATTATGACACTTTTCCTGCCTAGGCTCTCTCTGGCACTGTTAGCTACTGTCTGACAGGCAGTATTTGCAGTTGGAGATTGTGTATGTGCCAGCTGCTTAACAGTATCATCAATTTAAAGTTTATAACTATGATCTCTCCCCTGTTTTAGCTATGTACCAGGGTCAGATGGCTTTTTGAAATGAGCAGATTCAGAATTTTAGGAGACACACAGATGTTGATTTTAGCTGCACTGTCAGCTCATCTACCACTTCCTACAATCACGTTCTCAAGTCTCCAGTATTGGTCTTGACAGCTCTCAGCTAAGTCTCTTTCTAGCAATGTGTGGTTGTGACTGTTATCCCTAAATGCACTACGGTAAATATAACTAGAGTTTGTATCAAGGGCAGGGAAGCAGCTATGGTGGTGCTTGTTGTTTCCTCAAGCTGACAAGTTGATCTGACTTATGGTGACCCTAAACTCAAGGCTGTGGCTTCCTTTATGAAATCACTCCATCTCATAATTAATGTTCATCACACTAAAGCAAGCATCAACCAACCCCAGTGCTTAGTTGCCCATGGGTGGACTGAAAAATATGATATGACTACCCTTTTCTGTGCACAATACAGTTAACTCCTGGCTGACTTAGCTTCACCTGAAAAAGCACACTGTTATAAGCACTGTAAGGCAGTATATGCTATTGTCTTTACAGTTTTGCAAGTATTGCAATAAAATAATTTCCAGATAAAGCTTTGAATGGGTTTGAATATAACTTTGAAACTATATTGTGTGGTTTATTTAATTTTTCCCAAGCAAATACTTTAGTTTAAGTATTTTGTAGCTACTGGGAAAAGGTTTGTGGGGGGATATTGCATATAAAATTGATACAGAGTACATTTTTAGTTCTGTTTACTAAGTATGAGATTTTTGTATGCTTATTAAGAATGTTTTATGTATTTATCTGATTATGTTGTGTTTTATCTTGTTATTTGTTGTAATATTTTAACTGCATTATTTAACTTAATGTTATTATTGGCATTTTTATTGTAATGGCCAACCAGAGAGCATGATGCTAACAGGTGGCTTTTATAAAAAATTAAAAATAAATAAATAAATGTAATAATAATGTGTGTTGGGAAGTTAAAATTAGTCAAACGAACATACTAAATCTGATGACCTTATTTAGAGCATTGGAAAAAATTTCCATAATTTTTTCCAGGCTACTTTTTTTCTGAAAACCCATGCCGCTGCTTGCCTTTCTTCCTGAGCTTTTACTGGTCACCACCAGGGCCACCCACCCCACAAGTGCCTAAGCAACACTTGAGGGTAGCCAGCATTGGCTTCTTCTCTTCCCTGCTATGATTCAGAATCATTCTGAATCCCCATAGATTTTTTTTTTTTTTTTTTTACATTTTAAACCTTTTCCCGTATATTGCAAGAGGTGACTTGAAAGCACTGGTCTACAGATTTTGGGAAATTATCAACCTCCGAGATAAAATGTGCTAATTCTTATATATTTTGAATAGATGAATTTGAAAGCAGGTGATAAAGGTGCTAGTTGGCTAAAGTTTTTAAGTTATTTCACAATAAATTTTTATACACAGACAAATATATTTGCCTACTAGGGAGGAAGGTGTCTGATGATTATGATCCCTCATAACTTCTTGACAAAGTACGGTAGAACAATTAAAATGGCACCACATGGAAGTGTATAAATTTATCTTCACTTTGAGACCAAAGATTATTACCTAACTGTAATTCATTGTTCATTTATTGCAAGGTACATTTGTCTTGGTCAGATCTATGCATCATACAGTTACATCTGGTGGCTTGTGAAAGTGTCATTGCCTAACATTTCCAAGGAACAGTTGTGTGATAATTTCCTTCAGAAGCCAAGATGCCTCGCAACTGTGTAAGCAACACAGATAACTTCTGCTACATTTGTGGCGAGGTTACATTTGCATTTCAAGTGCAGTATGACGGCAGTGGTAAAAAGGCATACCACCTGTATTTTGAATGCAAAATAGGGGATCAGGACAAGAGTTGGGCCCCTGTTAAGCACCTGGGGCAAACATGTCACTGAACATTCACTTCTTACATGTGCAGTTAGCCCATTTCCCTTTGAACTGTGGGGCAATGAGTGATGAGCATGGAGAGAGATTCCACCAGGATATCGCAGGCATGGAGAAAAGATGCCAAGGGAAATGGAGGCCGTCCATGCTGATTACTTCTGAAATCTCTCCAGGGATGATCCTACTGCAGTTCACAAGAGAGAAACCAAAAAGCACAGTTTAGATACCAAATAAAGATGGAACCTTGTTGTTTAATCTGATGTTAGCGCATGAAAATGTTACATGAAAAATCAATAAATGAATGGAAAGTTATTATTGGTATCAATATAAAGATTGCAATGAGTGGTGTGGTACCATTCTCGTTGCTATATCACATGTTGCAGAATAGTTATGGAGCATAATCGTGCATCCCCCTCTTAATTTTGAATTATTTTGATGCAATTTTGACCTGAAGCTGTATCTTGGATGCTGGAGCCAATTAATACTCAGGATTTAATTTTCCTTTATTAATGACTCAGTTCTGGTAAAATTTAGCTACTTTCATTTCCGAGGCTTTCTCCTTGTAGACCAGTTCTTATCTGATTCTCATTTTGACAGCTACTGACAGAGCCTCTTTAAAGAGCCTGAGCATCACCTTGGAGGGGCTCTCTGTGGGTTGCAAGCATTTTTTAAAAATTTCCCCCAGTTTTTACAAATATTTGCAAACTGTTTCACTTGCACAATTGCATTTGTGTGCAGTTAAACAACTTCCAAAATTGTTTGGGCTTCATGCATGGAGGTCCCTGCCATGAAAATGCAGGAGATACTAACCCTGCCCGTTGACCCAAAGAAGATCTAATGAGGCATTTTCCCTCTTGGTTTGAATTCTTTGAATTCTTCAAAGAGGTGAGGTGGACAAGAGGTGAGCTATCAAGCCAAATCAAAAGTGCAAAAATGGGGTGATGGTATTTATACCCCCTTTGCAGTAAGAACCTCTGTTCTGTTTTTGTTATGATAGTCTTCAGGGTGATGCACAGTATGCACTTTTTCCCAAGATTTTACTGCTTGGGAAAGTGCACCCCATGCCTTTTCTGGAGAAAAGCCATTTTGACATCTAGCTGTCACAATTCTGGGTCTGTTTAAACAATGGGGTGAACAGGCAATAGGTATTTTTAGACTGGGACTTACACAACTATATGCCTCAGTCAACATTTCTTCCCTGCATTGACCTGTCAAAACCCCCTTTAAAGGGGAACTAGAGCTAGCTGTCAAAACTGCCAACTGTCAAAACTGCCAAAGCACCTTTTACCCAGAAAAAGGAGCAGGGACATGCAGTTTTATACTTTCCCATGTACCTAAAATCTTAAGGAACAGTGCAGAATGTATATCATCCTGGGGACTCTCAGGGCAACTTGCACCTCAACCCCCCAAAGATCTTTTTACAAAGAGAGTGTAACTCCCACCACCCCATTTTTGTAAACATAAATCACTTCCACCTTGGTTTAGCTTGGCAGCTCACAATTAGACAACTGCCAAACCAAAGGTGAAAAAAGCCCCTTTGAGTCCATCTACCTCCTGCAGTTTGACAGCAGAGGCACTATGCCTTGATATTGTCCAGCCACAGCTCCCAATTTTCCCCACCCATGCAACTGGATTTGTAGGGGCAGAGGGTAATAAAAAGAAGCATAGAAACAGAGCGAATCAGAAGAGGCCTCATGGGCAATCTAGTCTGATCCCCAGCTCCAACCGGCTCTGCTCATGTAATCCCCAACATGTGGTTGTCCAGTCTTCCTTGAACACACTCACTGGTGGGGCCTCAACAACCTCCCATGGAAGCCCAGTCCATACCGTAGGGGTCCTAACTGGCAGGAAGTACTTCCTGGCATCCAAATTGAACCTTCGTTTCCTGAACTTTGCTCCATTAGAACATGTCCTACCCTCCTCCACAGGGGAAAACATGTCTTGACTCACCTTCGCATGACACTCCCTCACATACTTACGTGTCGCCAACAGATCCCCTTGGAGTCTCCACCTCTCCAGGTTGAAAAGACTCACTTCCCTCAGTCTCGCCTCATATGGCTTCCCCTGCAATCTGACCACCATCCTTGTGGCCCTATGCTTCACTGATTCCAACCTGGCTGTATCCTTGTAACGTGGAGTCCAGGTACACCACATCCACAGTGCCCCTTCCAGTGCGTTTTTTGTTAAAAAAGGTGCCGGAACTCCCGCCAGCAGTAAGCACACACACCAATCCCAAGCCGAGCAGGAAGCAGTCCCAAGCAGCTATCTCTCACTATCAGATAGCAGATAGCAGACACAATAGCAGCCTGCAGGCACTATGTTAATGATGTTTGCTGCTGATCTGCTACTCCGTTCAAAATCACTTCATAAAATCCATTGAAAAAAAGATGCCAGAATGCCATTCTGGTGCATTCTATGACAAAAAAAGCCCTGGTCCCCTCCATCTAGCCACCTCAAAACCTTGTCATAGAATTCCACAAGGTTTGCCTGGCCGGATCTGTTTTTATAGAATCCATGCTGCATGGCTGCCAACCTCCCATCCCTCTCTAAGGTTTCTAGAGCTTTCCCTATGATGAACCTTTCCATTGTCTTTCCCAGAATGGACGTAAGACTAACTGACCTGTAATTCCCCATATCCCCTCTGCAACCCTTTTTGAAGATTGGAAACACTTATGCCACCCTCCAGTCCTCCAGAACTACTTCTGTTTTCCACGAGGCCTCAAAAATGAAGGCCAATGGATGCAAGAGTAACCCTGCCAATTTCAAATGGATGTTACACCTTTGTAACATCCAGGGCCCTGAGGAGTTCCTTGACTTCTAGGGAGGTGACTCCCCTCTGTGCCTCCATAACCCTAACCTCACCCAGTCCCCCAGGAAGATCTCCAGCCCTCTTTGGGGAGAACAGAGAAGCAAGATAATCATTTAACATCTGTGCCTGTTTCCTTACATCAATTACCAGATCCCCTCCCTCCCTTTTAACTGGTCCTACCACCTGTCTCCCCTTCCTTTTCCTATTTACATGAAGGTAGAAGCCTTTTTGTTGCTCCTGACCATGGATCCTCAAACTAAGACCCATGGGCAGGATCTGACCCGCCATGCCCATTTAACCGGCCCGCCCCACAAGTTTTGCACTTGCCAGGCGGCACACGGGCGTGCAACTTGCTCTCAAGGAGATCGTTTTGGACTCAATTGGAGAAAATGTTCTCCTCACAAGCAAGCTGGCACCTCACTGTGTGTGTGCCCGGCAGCAGCTTGCTCACGAGGAGGTAATTTTGGACTAGATCTCACGAACAAGCCAGTGCCTCACCCTTCATGTCCCCACCTCACCTTGCATGCATGCACATGTGCATGCCCCGCCCCTTCACCAGCTCCCCCCCGTCCACCGCTGGCACCACCCTGGCGGCCCACATCCACCGCTGGCACCTGTCAACTGGCTCCCTTTAGAAAAATTTTGAGGACCCCTGCTCTTGACATTTGCCAGCCATGGACAGTCCCTCAAAGTTGCCACTCAGGCATTTTGAAAGGGTGGTTCATGGCTGTCAAAATGGGGATGACAAAAGGTGGCTGTCAAATTGCCTTTTGTGATTGCCATAAAAAAGTTTAAAGTGCACAAAAGCTGCTGGAAACCAAAGCTAGCTCTAATTGTGAGAGGAGGGAGAGATGACTTGGTCCTGCTAAAATATTTGTGAGATACTGCATCTAGGACTGAGGAATTAAACAACCACTGTCAATTGTAGACAGTACTATATAGCTCCATATAGAATTTGAGCTGCATTTTCTACTCATCAAGACTCCTCAAAGTGACATACAAAATTTTAAAAATACTGTCATCTATAAAGTATCAAAATAGAAAAGCGTTAATAGCAGAGCAGCATTCAGAAGTCATTGTGGTGCATTGCCTTTGTGGTAGAACATGATATATTTTCCACTTCTTTATTTCTAGATGGTTCCACAGGAGTGAAGTGGCATGGACATTTTTCAAAGTGTCCTGAGGAGTACAAGCACTACTGCATCAAGGGAAGATGTCGTTACGTTGCGGTGGAACAAACACCAGCATGTGTGTATGTTTTATATTCCAAAACACTGAAAAAGTTGTTGTTTGCCCTAGTGCCAAATTAGGACATGATAGACTCTCTGACAATGTTTGGTTAATGGCATATTTGCTAATAGAGCCCATGTTTAGCCAGTGTTCAGTTCTGGGGCTCATTCCAAAGTATCAAAACTACTTTGAAAGTTATAACTCAGCCACTCTGATTGAGAGCTGAGTCTGAGAATGCAGACTCTGGATCTCTTCCCAATTCTTTTTAATGTCAATGAGTGATCAGAATTTATTAGTGCTTTTACTAAGAAAGGAGCAATTGTGGGGGTGGCAATTCCTGGATAAGGATTTTTTTTTTTCCTGCAGAAGGAAAGATGGATGCATTGGATTTGGAAATAAGAGACCCCAGGCTGGTTCATGTGTTTGCTCCATGAGATTATCTGTTCATAAATTCATGTGCACCCTTGTCTTTCCTTCAGTATGGGGAGGATGTAACCGCTGAACTAGTAGACCTTGTGTTTCAGTGGAGGCATTATATTAACGGGGCCATTGCCATTGCTTCCTCATGTAGGTAGAGAGATAGTTGAGCGAGCATCTAAGAGTGTTGACTTCACCCAAGGTCCAATATGTGGGGCAATTGGAACAACATACTAAGTGAACATGAGAATTCCCCAAAATACCACATGACAAGTCACACTTTGACATTGTTGGAAATTATGAGGAGGGTGAAAAACTGATGCAAGTGTTACAATTTTTTTCAATGGAACAGTTGATCCCTCTTGTTGATAGAAGGTTAAAAAAGCTTTTGGGCCTTAAAGTTTACATTTCAATAGTTATAAAGAATGTCCTTAATAGCCCCAAGATACAATAAAGTTAATATATTGAAGTTTAAGCAAAGGTGTAACAGTAATAAAACAGCTCTACCAAACATAAATAGGTACAGCATATCCTATGGAGCAGTAATAAAAGGCTAATAAAATGAAGGCATTTCAGTCTGGTGAACTTACATGGAGAATTCCATGCCTGTTGTGTTCCATGGAAAAGACCCTGCCCCTATACTCTCTTCACACAGTAATGCAGCCCTGAGCAGAGGGTAAGTGATCTGAGATTGCTTAATCTTCCCTGTAAAAGAGGTGGACAATGGAGATTAGAAAGATTATAATGCAACACTTTTTGATAAGCCTGTAAACAAAGGGTCTGCCTGGTACAGGGACCAGTTGGCAAGAATGGACCTGCACCTTGCAAGGAAGGAGCTGTATTTCCAATAGCCTGCTCTGAACATCTCTTATCTTTCCTTTACAGCTGTGAGATAGGCTACACTGGTGCAAGATGTGAAAGGTTGGATCTATTTTACCTGAGAGGAGATGAGGGCCAAATTATGGTGGTTTCTGTGATAGCTGTTATGGTGTTAGCTACCATCCTGACTGTATGTACATGTACTTGCACACAGTAAGTATGTTGGTGTGAAACCAGACATACATAGTGTGTGGTGTGGTTTGGTTTCTCCATAAACAATTAGAAATAGTTCCTAGTACTCCAAAATGTAAATATATATTGTTTTGTAAAGGGAACATATAGGTTGCCTCTTCTTATGTTATTGGGACCCGAGTTTGCAGATCCAGGAGCAACCCTTAACCCCAGTCAGAAACATGAAACCCAGTCCTGGCTCATGTCCATCTTTGTGGACTTCCCACAGGTATCTGGCTAGTCATTGTAGGAAGAGAATGGTCCTGTGGTCTGGTACAGCAGGTTCACCTTGTGATACTTTTCACATGAGCTACTGCAAAGCCAGGTTTCCTCTATTCTGATTTTTGTACCTTTGAATTGTAGAGTTTCATGCTATCTACTAAATTCCATCTTCTTGCGTTTGACTCTGATCCAGCCTGTCAAGATAATTTTAATTCTTGATTCTGTCTTTGACAGGGTTAGCAATCCCTCTCCAGTTTTGTGTTGTGTAGATTTGATAAGTATCCCACATTCTCATTCAAATTACTTACAACAGAACTGAATAGGACAGAGCCCTGTGGCACTCCATTTGAGGTCTCCAGACTGAGAATGAAATAGTGATTTTATGGCCACACAAAAGTATAGAACATTCCTTTTACTTTGATGGGGCTAGAATTCTATGGAAGATATGAGATTAAGACCTGTTTTTCTCTCCCAAAACATAACAGGGTCTTTAATGGTTTCTGTTTTAGAGAAAACTTCTTTTCTTCCCAGAAAGCTTATATAAATTTACTAGAAGTCAGTAGTAAGATGTTGTATATGTTGGCCGAATTAATCAGTTTCTGATATTATATGTTAGACTTGCTCATAATCACACAGATTAATTTTGAAACTTGCTTTTCAAGTTACTGCCGGAAGAGATGTCAGAGGAAGAAAGAAGAAATGAGAACACTCAATAAGGAATTTCCTATTAAAATTGAAGATACTGTACAAACAGACATTGTATTTCCATAACCTGCAGTGCTTCTCCTTTGTTTGGGTATTCATTTTAGGGAAAAAAATCAAAACATTGGACTGCATGCATCATTTTTGGAAGCATTGTGAAATGATGGCTGCTGGGCAAGCAGCTTGCAGGACATTTTGTTTGGTTTGGTTCTTTTTTCAACAAATGGAGATTCAATATATTGAAAAAAATTTGAAGGTATTTTCTTTGCGTGCAAAAGCATGTAGGAGCACATCAGTATAGTCCTGCAAATACTCCTAAGTATTAGAACCCTTTTGCCATATAGTATAATACTGCAAAAAGCAATCCTGAGATGTGGGGGGACTTTCATCAGGCAGAAATGTTTTTATAGATGTTCTAAATTTTCAGCTCTTTGCCTAAATTAAAAGAAAAAAATAGAGAATTTCATGAAAAACTAACTTTCCAACAGGAAAGTACACCAATTGATCCACTGCATCATTACCATGGTTCACAGTTTTTTTACCTTGGTGCTCCTGACAGTCGATCATGCTCATTGCAGTAACTGTCCTCCCCACTGCAGTCTCCTTCCCTCTCGGTTCTCTGGGGGGCTCTACAGGGAAGAACAAGGCTTTGACAGCCACAATTGCCAGCCAAGTTCAGCCCCCCACAGTTGTCAAGCAGTCTCTTGTACAAATGGGGCTCATACCTTGAGGCAAAGCAGAGATGAGGAAGCTGATCAGGCACCTTTGCCTTCTGCTTCAGAAAGGACCGCTGGCACAGGAATGGGGGTGTCTGATCTGCACTTAGGCGAAAGGGGAGATATGTTGGGCAGTGCTATGGGAAGGAGCAGTGCCACTCAGCAGATTCCTCCTTTGCTGACCATATTAGGGAGGGGAAAAAATCAGTTTGGAAGCATGCCCAGTTGGGGGCTGCATTGTTCATCGGACTCCCTGCTCATCCCCCTTTCTCCAGCTTGCCAGAGAGGTGTCCTCTGAAGTGTGCAGCCTCCAACCAGGTGCCACTGCCCAGCTGATTCAGAGATGGGTGGCAGGGGAATCAGCTGAGTGGCCCCATTCCTTTCTCAGTGCTGACCAGCCAATCGCTCACTCCTTCCATAAAGATCTTTAGGATGGAGTGGGGATGCCTCTGACAGTTGCACAAAACAGCAGGTAGTGGCTCACTCAGACTAGCCACTTGCCTCTTCCCAAGTGGACCTCTGGGGCTGCCCTTAGTACAATAATGGATTGTGTTTTCTGGGTTCAGATGACACAGCAAACCACTGTATGGAGAAATCTTAGCACAGACCATTGTTTCTGTTTGGGATTTCTAAAGGCCAAATGTACCACACTGAAATACCATAATGGGGTTTGGCTGACAAAAGAGACAAACAATGGTTTAAAAATCCCCCAAGATGATTGATTGATTGATTGATTGATGGATTGATTGATTGATTTAGGGCATTTATAGGCTGTCCATCACTGTCATCTCTGGATGGCTTACAATATAAGTCCTAAACAAAATAAATCGGCTATATTAGACTGAAAATAAAAATAACATAGTTAAAATAAGTTAAATAAATAAATACACAATTAAAATCAATTAACATTAAAATGTTGGTCAGATAAAAAGGTCTTGACCTGGTGTTGAAAAGCATTTAATGATGGCGCCAGGTGGACCTCTCTAGGGAGTGCATTCCATAGTCGGGGTGCCACCGCAGAGAAAGCTCTCCTCCGAGTGCTCTGTCTCCTTGACCTGCCAATCTTAGGGAGTGGGAGGGCGTATAGGGAAAAAGACATTCCTGCTCCCAAGCCGTTTAGGAATTTATAGGTAATAACCAGCACCTTAAATTGAGCCTGGACTTCAATGGGAAGCCAGTGGAACTGATAGAGGACTGGAGTTATGTGAGGATAATGACCAGCCCCCAACAGCATCCTGGCAGCAATATTTTTGCACCATCTGAAGTATCTGGACCGTCTTCAAGGGCAGCCCCACGTAGAGCGCATTACAGTAGTCCAAGCAGGAGGTAACCAATGCATGTGTCTAGAACTGTTGCTAGGCAGTTCTCCTCCAGGAAAGGACACAGCTGGTGGATCAGCCTGAACTGAAGGAAAGCCCACCTCACCACCGCCATCACCTGGGCTTCCGGGGACAGTTCCAGGTCAAGGAGCACTCCTAAGCTGTGGACCCTGTCCTTTAGAGGGAGTGCAATCCCATCCAGGGCAGGGCCCAAGTCACTTACCTGGAAACCCAAGACAGGAGCTCTGTCTCATCTGGATTGAGGCTCAGTTTATTGGCCCTCATCCAGCCGATTACCTCGGCCAGGCACCGGTTCAGGACAGCCACTGCCTCACCTGGATTAGCTGAAAAGGAGAGGTAGAGCTGGGTGTCATCAGCATACTGATGACTCCGCAGCCCAGACCTCCTGATGACCTCTCCCAGCGGTTTCATGTAGATGTTAAATAGCAAGGGGGACAAGATCACTTATCATTGTGTGCAAACCTGCCTGTTGACTCTCAGCCTAACCTACTTCGCAGGGCTATTGGGATAAAATGGAGACAAAGATTAAGTAAGTTGGTTTGGGTTTCTTGTAGGAAAAAAGGTGGGATATAAGTATAATAAAATAAATAATGAATCATATTGGTAACTTGATTTTTAATTGTGTGCATTCTCATTGGAATGGTATATACAAAAACAGGAAAACCTTATGATGGAATCCATCTTTGTGGCACAGCTCTGAGCCACAGCTTATAGTTTTATAAGACTATGATCCTCATGAACCTTTCAGGAGAGGACATATCAGGCTAAGAAATGTCAACTTCAGCATCCAGGGAGGCAAGGCAGAGGCTTACTCAGCTAGTGAGAGAGGTTGCCTCTCCAACTGACCAAGCAAAAGTTAAGGGGTGCACATTTGCCCCTTCTGTTTACTTTAGCTTGTAAAGTAGGGTAAAACTAAATGACTCTTTGTCAAATACTTAGAACATGACAAGGGGGCGCCAATTGGACCACAACATCTGCCAACTGGATAGCCAAAACCATCAGGCTCTTGTACCAACTAGCCAACATGGGCTTACCGATCAACCCCAAAGGCCATTGCATGAGAGATGTATCCACTTCATCAGCCCTGCATTCTGGCATATCTCTGCATGAACTATGCAAAGTCACTACCTGGTTGACACTGTCCACCATCACTACCAACTCGACCTTGAAGCCAAATGGGATTGCTCCTTTGGATGTGCTATGCTTTCTGCAGTTCTCCAATAACAACACCTTCCTGCCTCCAAGAATGGTAAGCTTGCTAGTCACTCCTATGTATGATGCACAGAGACCACAACAAAGAAAGGCAGGTTGCTTACCTGTAACTGGCATTCTTTGAGTGGTCTTCTGTGCATTCACACAACCCTCCCACTGGCCCCATGTCAACGTTAGTGGAATCAGTCACGTTTACTTACCATTACCTAAGCTCCTAACTCAATTTAACCAGTGAACCATCAGTATCAAGCTGGATGAAGGGTGGGAATCCTGCCTATTTATATGAAGGGAAGGGAGGCGGGTCTCCCACTAAAAATTCTTAGAGCCGAGAGAATCTTCCTGAATACATGCACTGTGCAGGCGCAGCACCCATATGTGTGAAAGCACAGAGGACCACTCGAAGAACAACAGTAACAGGCAAGCAACCTGCCTTTCCCTTGCCCTGCCTATTTAAAAACTGTCTAGATGAGTTGCACATCAGAGGCTGATTGCAGCCAGCAACCTAGCTGTGTTCCCTAAGAAATGTGCAACATAGAAGCCCAGTCGTCCTTCGTTGTTCCAGGGGACCACAAGTTCTTGGGGGCAGAGAGACCTGGGCTTGTTTTACTCAGTGGTGAACCCTGCCGCATCAGATCTTGCACCCTCACATGGGGTTGCCTGCAGGTGTCACTATTAGTCACTGTAAACACTGTGGTCTCCTGTTGAAAAGGGAGAGACTCTCAAAAGAATGGTATAGTTTTACTCAGGCATGCAATGGGAGAATTGTTGCTTTTACTGTGCAGCTAATGGGTTTGTAACATTTCCAGAATTTCATTCTCCACAGGAAGTTTGTAATATTTTGGAGGAAAGTATGTTTCCCTACAAATGCTTCTAGGAACGTGATGTTCTCCTGAACAGAAATGTACACTTGAAAATATGGACTGTGTTCATCAATGTGAAAAACAACAATTATTTTCTGGCTGGAAAGGCCTTCTTGATTTCATTTTTATTATTACATTACATTTATATTGCACCTTTTTCCTCTTGCAAGGAACCCAATGCTTACATATTCCTCCTCCATGCTATTCTCACAACAATCCTGCAGGTTAGACTGAGAGTGAGTAACTAGCCCACTGTCACCTGGTAGCTGTCATGGCTAAGTAGAAACTAGAATATGGATCTGCTGAGTTCCCATTCCAGCTCTGTAACCACCACTGCACAGTGGTAAAGAAGGTGTATATCTTCTTTATTTAAAATGAATTGTTAGAAATATAGACAGCCAGGGAAGCACGGCTTTCTGTATTATAGACAATGCCATGAGAAATCATACCAGCAAAGTTTTTAAGCATTCTTGTACCCACCACAGACTGTTACTTAATCAGTTCTCACTATACTTTGCATCGACTAATAATGGGATGTGTGTGTGTTTAGTGTCAAGGAACATACACTGAATAAAATATTTTAGATTTTCTTCAATGTGTCTCCCCACACTTGCAGTTGGAGGGTTTGCAGCTAAACAGTAGTTTCAAATCTCCTGATTCTGAAGCTGCAGAAGGATTTCAAATCATTACAAAAGATCTTCACTTCATACCTTATAGCTGGAAGATTTTTCTTTTTCCTGTAGGAACCAAATAGCATTTGGACCTTTTTGAGCCAGATCTAGTAACCATACTGTGAATAATCACTCACAAATCTTTCCATCTGCTGAACTTCCCTGACCATCATATGCAAGATTTATTTATTTATTTATTTATTTATAAAATTTGTATGCTGTCCGTTACTTCCATCCATTACTTCCGTATTTCTTTTGTACTGAAACAGAACTCCTCTGTCAGAGAATGCCTTAGTTCTAAAAATCTTCAGTCTCATTATGAATGGATGAGTTTTGACCAACAGACAAACAAATTACAAAAATTGTTGGTACAATTACATTGCACCATAGGCATGGGTGAACACATGTGCGGGCTCTTTATATTGCAAATGTGAAGCTGTTTGAAGACTGACATCAGTTATCCAGCTAATACAAACAATAAACTTGTAAATGTATTAAAATGTGAAATTATGAAAACATGTAATTGGAAAAACAAAACACCAAGTTTTATAATTCCATCATTTTTCTTTGGACTGTCTGACCTTGCACTGGCCGAAGAGAGGTAACCACTGGCAATGTCATATATAATTCACTAGGCGTTGTAAGTTGATGAATAGACCCCATATACTGCAGTATATTGACCACCTTTAGATGCTTTTAACCTTGATGAGGACTGATAATTCTCTAAGCTGCTTAATAGATCATTGCATGATGATCAATGAAGGAGATGGTGTTTGTCAATTTGGTTTCAACAGCTTGTCAATAAACAGTTTCCTGGATATTCTAAGTTCACCTTGGATGAAAATGGGTTTAATTTAGTAAATGTTCTACTCCATAGAATTATAAAAGATTGTTTTCTTTTTCCAGGCATTTATATGCTACGTCTTTTGCTTTTAAAGCAAGCATTTGTTGTAGGTGAAGTTTCTGGTTATTATTATTATAAAGATGTACTTAAAATTATGTGGGCAATCCTGGTGAAATCTCCAAAGTACAAGTATTTGAAGAATAAGGTTTATTTGCACTTCCCTGTCACTAGCAGAAGTATAAAAATACATAAAACAATAAAAACTGTACTATAAATTATGAACATTAATTTGGCAAGTTTGCTTAATTTACATAAGCAGGTGTGGAATTAATTTCTTCACACAGCATTTGGCATACCTGAGTCCACAGTGGAAGTGTTCAGAACAGAAAAAAAAGAAAGCCCATCAGATCTTACCTACACTCCCAGGCAGGTTAGAACTTACTCCAGCATAATTCAATACTCATGCAAAGGTTACTTCTATTTCAGAAAGTTGTGCCAGATTTCTGCAAGATCCCTGGATTCCTATACCATGCTTTTACAGTCTGCTCTGCTGCTGCCCTGTAGGCAAGCCATCTCCCTACAAGGGAGATGTTTCTAGTCTGTGGTCCCTTGCAGTATGCCAAACAAATGTAGCATTGTTTGATTTCTTTTTAAAAGTGAGCAGAGAGTATTGAATGTTAATGTGTGTGCATACCAGCCATGGTACTTCACACTTTCTCAGCTGTTGGCCCCTGACAGGCAGAAGCATGTGGTTTCTAAAAATAATTTCAAGAACACACATTATAAGGAAAATGTAAATGAAATGCTGTTTTGGCTGTTGCATGCACAAGAATGTTAATTTTGGAAATCAACTTGTTTTAGTCATTACTCTAAGAAAGCAAACCTCGGCCGTTCATAGCCAACCTTTCTCCCCCTTGTTCAAATACACTTTGGTAAGCTGAATAAAGTGCCCCCCCTCCCTGTTCCCTGTGGTATCAGCTGGGAGGTGCAGAGACAGCCCATTAATAGGATTGGTCCTCTGGAAGTTAGGAGGCCTTTAAAGAGCAGGAGGGATAAGAGATTTCACTCACTTGGAAGTCTGTGCCTTGACGTATCACCAAAGGAGGTATGGAGGCGGTGGAAGTGTTCAGTACAGAAAGCAAAGGCAGGGGGCTGAAGGCAGTGAAGGAGTTTTGGGCAGCAGATGTCATTTTTGCAGAACGAGCTTATGCGGCTGTAGTATTTGACAGGTAAGAAAGAAAATGAACTTCGCTGTGAATCAGGAAGCGGGAGCATGTGGGAGGTGGTGTGGAACTAGCTGGATGCAGTTCATCACAGCCTGAGCAGGGAGAATGTTATGACTCATTTTCTGGGCACTTTGGGAAGAAAGAGATGCTTTCGGGATGAAGCTCATCCAAAAAACTGCCCAAGAGCTTCAGCTGTTGAGTCACAAAGTTCCTCACTGAAGCCTCATCTCTGCCCTGAGCTTGCTGGGTGGCTTCAGGTAAGTGTTTCTCAGCCCTGCCCCCACCCCAGTCTATCATGTGGGCATAATAGCTTACCAGATTGTGAATGAGGATTACTGAGACAAAGTATATGAAGAACATTTTATACGCAAAAAGTGCTATGTGAGTGCTGAACTGTTTACTTAATTTATTTGAAACAGTTTTACCCTGCTTTACATCCACAATGGGTCTCAGGACAGCTCACAAAACGATAATCTGTTGCATTTGTTGGTGTCATCTTCCTCACCATTTTAGTACCACTTTGTGATACTAAAGGCTTCTCCTGCCCTGGATAGTTAGAAGGAGAAGGCCACATGGACATAACTTGCTGTAGATTTCTTTGTGTTTCGGATTCAGGCATCTAGGAATGCCTACACTCTGCACTTCAGATAAGCATACTAACATGTGGGTTGTGGGGCTGGAGCCTGGGGGACACACACTGTTGAGAGAGAGCCAGAGGCATTGCCCCTTCACACAAGAGTGCATGGAGGGAGCTTTTTACATCCAGCTGAGCAGCTATTTTTTGATGGGCCCACTTCTGAGTAGAGCAAAGTTGATGAAGGACCAGCAACATTGGCCCCATCCACTGACTCCTTCCCACAGAAATTTAGCAACTGACAGGGTTTTTAAAGCCTCTCCAGTGTGAACACCAACAAAAGCTTACTTAGCATGAGCCCTCTCTGTGCTGTATTCAGGAACAACAAATTAGCTGCATGCTGTTCCCTTAAGAAGCATACAAACCCCACAACCCCTCTATGCATTGAATGAATATGTAGAAGAGGTCACATGGGCCAACCTCACCTACCACACCACCTCTCCAATGAATGACATACAGAAAGAGTGTCTTGTACATGCAGAGACCTCTTGTGAGCAAGGAGGTCTTCCCCCATCCACCTCCTTCTGAAGGTTAGCCAGACCTTTTACAAGGGAGTTTGACTCAAGTGCATGGATATGGGGATGAGTGCTGAGCTAGCCCTCATGATCTTGCAAGCCCCTCCATGTGTTAATTCAATGCATATTTCTTTTCTGAGAAATCCTGTTGAAGGCCTGAGATATATAACCTGGTTAATATAGCCAATTAGGTTACTAAGCAGGTGGAGCCCTACTTCCACAATCAAGTTCCACAATCAGATTTCACAGTTCCCTCATTACTGCAGCTCAGCCTCTTTGGATATGGACAAGGCCTGGAAGAATTCTCCTTATCTTCTGACTCCTTTTTGCTTGATGAACTTAAGGGGAGAACTCAGGCAGAGACTCCAGCAACGTCTACACTAAGAGGTGGTGGCATAAACAGCTGTTTACTGGCATCTTGACTCCTGTTTGAGAAATGGCTAAGGTGCTGTGTGCTGCATGCTGAGGAAGTGGCCTTGGGATTAGGTGTTGTTCCATACATTGGGCTAGGGCACACATTGAAACAGCTTGCTTAGAACAGAAGAGGTATTTCTTTGATTGTGCAGAACTGATGGAGAGTACTTGGGCTGAAACAACTTGCTGATACTTCAAATCAGTGATTACGTAAATAGCTGTTTAAAACTATTAGCTTGCTAAAAACTAAACTCCTGAGTAAAATAATTGCAGATACATTGCCTGTTTTATATATTCACTATTTTCATACAGTCTACCTTTTCAATAGAACTGGAGACAAAAAAAAAAAAAAATGCTTGGTGTTACGATGAACTCCCGAAATTTCTCTGCATTTAAGGTTCTGGTGTAAAATGAAAGTATGCAATATAAATTTTTGAACAGGTTTAATGAAAATCTATTTCATGTCTTTCATGCCTACTTGGATTTTTTGGATTAACAATTCTACTGGCATTTTCTAGATGAATAGGCAAGATATATTTAAATATCACATATAGTATAAGCATTTGTTATGGTGGAATTCCTGACCATTATGTTCATGCTAACCAACTGCCTACTGACAAAAGGACTATGGGCTTAAGATTTCTATAAATCCGTTGTTCAATTTGTAGTGGTGAACATGCTGGTACCTGAAGGCTATACAAACAGGCACTGGTAATTTTCCTCTGCTGCTGTATAAATGTAGAAATGCTAGATGCTTGTTTCCTCCTTACTGTGCTGAATCCTTGATTATGGGGGATGGATAATCCAATTCAGTTTTCTTAGTTTAAATTGGATTCACATAGTGGCCATTTTGATCGTTATTTCCTTAGATGTACACTTCAGTTATTTTAAGAATATATCCAATGTCTACACCATCAACATGCAAGAGAGAGAGCTGGACTGCTGCTCCAGATCAACCATGGGGCAACCTTAGATTTGCTGCTGCTTCATATGTGAAACAGTCCTGAATAGTCTAATTCTGAGTCTGGTATGTCAGTGAACTGAATTCTAGTCTCCATTGTGACTGTGTATAACCATTCACTTAAGATTTCTGTAATGGGAGTTTACATCAACTCACAGTTCCTCATCTCAGGATGGCTTTCACATCGATTGTAAATGTCAACAATGAGTAAGTCACTCCTTTTTTTTTTTTTTTTTTTTGAACTTTTGGATAATGTCTACTGGGTGAAACAGGCCATGTTCAAATGTCATGAAAACCCCTATATGGGCATAAGAAAAGCCATGCTGGATCACTCCAAGAATCCATCTAGTCCAGTGCTCTTCACACATGGTGGCAAACCAGCTGCCCACAGCATCGCGAAAGCAGGATGCGTGCCAGACTTCCTCCTGCCCAAGCTCCTCAGCAACTGGTGTATGCCGGCAGACCACCTCTGGTGAAGGAGGCAGCATATGGACCGCAGGGCTAGTAGCCACTGTTAGCTTTCGCCCGCGTGTACGATAATCCATCTATGATCACAAACCATGGTGGATGGTCATGTTGTCTGAATCCACGCTTCTCTGCATTGGCTTCTAAGTCACCACCCCACTGCCAACCATGGCAAGGTCCTGGCACCATGCGGTTCCCTCCCCTAGCTCTTCCTTTTCCATCTCATCTCCACAGTGAAAGAGCTCCAGTCATAACCAGATCAGCTGAGAGATTTTGCAGCCATCCCATTTGTGTTGCGAGCTGCTTGCACTTTCCCTCCTTCACTGTCCACACTCTTGTCTCCTCTTTATGTCCTTTTCTCACACTGAAAAAGGCAGCAAACGCTGCCGTACCAAATCCATGTTTAGTAATATTTTTAAGCACTGTTATGGAAGTGATCTTACTCTATGGAAACTCCTAGAAGGGACCAAGAACACCAGAGTTCACCTCCATCACAAATTTGTGACTGACAGGTCCTGTACTGCTGTGTGAGAAAAAATACAGCATGGGGTGTGGGGAGGGGCAGTGTCCAAACTGCAGCTACCTTTAGCAGAGATACAGGGCCACTCAACTGGAGAAAAGCGGTGGCAGAAAAGCATTTCACAGAGCAGTGTGGCAGGGGAAAAGCATGGGGCGCTGGAGGTGTTACAAAGAATAGCAGCAAGTGTGGCTGCTTCATAGCATTCAGCTGCTAGGCAGGGTTTGGGATGGAGGGCACACTTGATAAAGGACAGCACAATATGGTGCTTGGCAGACCTGGGGAAACAAGTTTGCCATGAAAACAGGAGAGACAGCAATCCTTTGTTGTTCTTGATGCATGCATGACTAGCAGATCACCTTGAGCCATGAGGGGATTGGCATTTGGCTTCAGAAAACACATCGTGAAAGGTTAAGCAGACCCTACAACAAGCCATAGCTTTTTGTGGAGGCTTCATAGCCACAAGTAAACCATCCTGTGAAAAGTGTGCAAGGTTCAGAGAACACGCTAAGCCACAGTAGCTTTAAAGCCACCAGGGCTCAGCATGATATGCAAACACATTCTATATAACGGAGGTTTCTATCACACTATTCTGTGCATTGCAACAACGCTTAAGGCTACACATGGTTATATTGAATAGTGGTATATTGCCAAGATACTGTGAGACCATCTTTGGCCAGCAAATATGAATTGGGCCAAAATCTTTAGTTGTTTGGAAGAGATCAGGTATATATAGAACAAGCAACATGTCCGTGGCTTTTGAGGAAACAGGCAGCTATGCCTTCTCAAATCTTTTAAAATCACAAGGATCTAAAAGGTATCTGTGATATGTCCACCTGTCTCAGAAGCAGAGCCTCCCCCACTGAATATGGACGGCGTTTCCAGAATGTCATGTACTGGAAACTGCAGAACATAGTTTACTGTGCTGGTAGCGTTAGAGATAATGCTCACATTACACTCAGGAATGTATAGGGAGAGGGGCTTTGCATATTTAATGTGGTGCAATGAGCTAATGACCTGTATCCAAGAAAAGCTTGCAGCATTACTTGTGAAGAGCTCTTTAATGAATTATTTTGCTTTACTTAATTTTACTTTTTACTGTATCTATTGAATGTCTAAGCGGATTCTTTTGGGCCAACCAAGAGGATTTACAAAAAGTTCAGAACAGTCAAATATAAAAATAGTAAAACATTAAAAACAACTTTAAGAGTATCTTAAACTTTAAGGGTTTAAAAAGACAATTATGTGTCTTGACTTCAGTCCTGGATGCAGAAAGAGCAGGAGCCAGTTGCATCCCCATGGGAAGTCTGTTGCAACTTTTGAGAGAAATACAGGAAAAATATTAGGTATTATTTTGTAAAATACAGTTAAAGTACTGTTGTATGTTACACGGCCATCCAGAGCCATAGTTAAGAAACCATCCAGAGCTTGGAGTACTTTGTTAACAACCTCATGTAGTTTGTTAACTGGTAAGCTACACCAGTGAGTGTAATAAAT